GACATAACCTGCCTACTGCAAACTTCAACTCTCAGCTGATTGCATAAGTAAAGAGCAAACCAAAACTGTCATTCTAATACATTTGACTCCTTACATACTCGCCTGTTTATCAAATAAATATTGGGATTAACAGTAGTGAAACGCAGCTGTCAATACTGGCAAGATAGTACACAATTTCAAACAATACTGAGTCATACTATTCACATTCTCTCAAGACTATCTTTAAGATGGTTGCTAGGAGACTTCACAGAACTGCAAAGCCTACATGCAACACGGACGAACATCCGCTGATAAAAACAGAATCAACAGAATCATCCTGGAACATTTGCAACAAAGATGCTCATCAATCTCAAATACACGTTTCCCTTGCAGCAACCACACTAGCACACTGTACCTTGCTCAAGGGCACGTCGACAGTGGTGGTGGAAGGAGAGAAGAGCATTTCTCATTTATTTTCCCCACATGATAGAGTATCAGCCTCTAGGGACGCACGACATTATAGAAAGGGGGGGGTCACATTGTTTTGCTAAATGAGATATGTAAAAAGCTTCCAACCTCTTTCCTCAGCTCTTATTTCCCTTCCTAGCAATTCTCCATCAAACATAATCACTATCGAGTTCCTAGGACATTTTGTTACATCGTAATGACAGCACATCGGCTCTGACCCTCGGACTTTCATGCTGGAAAGGTGAAGATTTAGCAGCTGCAATCTATTTTCCTACTTAATAATGAATGATAATAAATGATCTGTTGCTCTTGAGCATCAGATTGCCTTATGTGTAAATCACTGCACTGTACAAGACATCTGCTCAAACAATGGGGTTTCCTTTACATCTAAACATCAGGTACAAACAAATGTTCCTGCCCTTAAGTGTTCATCAACTGGTAGACCTACGCTGAGGTGAACAGCAGCTAAAAAGCACCGACAGTTCACCATCAGCCCTGTGAGAAAGTCAGCCAGCACCATGGACAGTTGAGAGACGTGACAGTCTACCACGCAATCGGAGCCTTCCCGCTGGAGGAAGTAGTGCACTCCTCACAGTGGATTACTCTCGCTTTTGACGTTGACGGAATAGGCCCTGCCCTTTAGTCTCAAACATGAACACAATGAAAGGTTCAACAATCGGGTATTGTTTTTGTTTGTATGCAGGGGAAGTAAATAATAAAATGTCATGTATCAGGATAGAAGATTTCTGTTGCCTTCCCCTAGTTCTGAGGCTGAAACATGCCTTCTCTCTGTGTAGTCAATGGTTTATGCATGCCACCAAACGTTGTACCTGGGGCCAGTGTGCTGTGTGGTACACTCTGGTGTTAATTCACTGCCTATAAGGGGTCTTGTTTGGCAAACTTGAAATAAAAAAGAAACATTCGAATACTGATTTGGAAGTCGATTGCCATTGCAGTGGTGGAAGTTTCCAGGCATTCAGGTCAGCCCTAGTCAGCATCATGCTCCACTCTGTAGTCCTTGCTCAATGGCACCTACTATGCTACCTAAGCAGCTACTGAGGACTGGTAGGAAGCATTTTTCATTCCCTCTCCTCAGCCACTTATGTGAAGTTTAAACAAATCTGGATTCAAACCAGCCACCCTCAGGGTAAAAGTCCCTCTGAGCAGGCTAATTCACTCTTGGCAAGCTTCTCTGTCTGTTGGCCCATGTTGGCTGTATATAAATGTGATTCTATTGTTGTGATATCCCAAGTACTGGCACTATGAATATATCAGGGTATTTTTAAAGTAGTTTGTAGACTTGACTTCATGCCAAAAACAAATGATTGAATAATGACTGAGGATGCTCCTCCTTGCTGCTGGCCCTATGCGTTTCCTGTCTGCATGAAAACAACAACACCCCCAACTGAGTTCTGTTCTTGGGTCAGTGTTGTACACATTTTAAAAGGGCCGGACTGTCTCATTCCCAAGACAAAGAAGCATTCGGATTTTGGTGACCCCATGACCTTTCCTATAGTCCCACCATCACAGCTTATTTCCAGATGCAGTACGATGTTGACTGTGACCGTAACGGCTAAGTGGTGAGATTATTAGGTGTTCCCAGTTGCCTGCCCTTTATTGAGTGCTTTCTTGTTCAAGGTCTGCTTTGCCATGACTGGCATCTCAACAACCCTCATCTACTTTCACCTCGTCCTTCTCATTTCTCTAAGGTCATAAAAGACAGCAAGAATGTGAAAAGAAACATAATGGCAGAGACAGACAGCTATAAAGAAGCTTCCAAGTGTTCTGATTTACAGGATCGTGGCATCTGTGGCACTAACCAAATTACTGAAGACTGAAGGCTTTAGTAACTCACCCTGCACACACAGCAGGGCTGCCCTCTGCGTGAACTCGCACTCAAACGACAATTCCATTTAACATCCGCCATTTGGTACACTTTTATCTAAAGTGCCTGACAGTATGCGTGAGTGTGTGCATACGTTTTTAGCATGGAGTCTAAAGAGATCGAGCCCCTTCACCTGGTTAGTGCTTTTCCTTTGGGATTGCTGTAGTCATGCTTTAAGTTCTGTTTTTTTAAGATCATTTTCCAGCTTTTATTGACTTCATTAGATAGTCACAGCTGAAGAGTGTCAGGAAGGTGGTGAGAGAGAGAGACAGTGGATGACATGCTGCAAAGGGCCGCAGGTTGGAATGGAACCCATGCTGCTGCAATAAGGACTCCTTTGTACATGGGGAGCACGTGCTCTACCAGGTGAGCTACCAGGGCAGCCTGAGAATTTTAGAAGAAAATAAGAACACACAGGTACAATGTTAATCTCAGACCCATTTTAGACACATGATGGAGATCAAATGAGACAAGACCTGAGAGGCTCAGGGTCTGACATTTACAATACAGCCTGTGCTGACAGCGATATACTCCACTATTCAGCTTTTACTAACCAGCTCTGCCAGTCCGAGATAAGGCATTAGAGCAAGCCTTACAATATATATCCTTCCAACACTACAAAATGATACCACTGCCTGCTGCAAACAGATAAAGGTAGGTGAACATGTGACAGGGGAGTTTTGTTTTTAGTGAAAGGCCTGAAGATGCAACAATTGTAAACTGTTATAATACCATTTTACTGCATGCTCTCTAATCTAGATTAGACATGAAGGTGAATTTAACTTTTTTTTCCTGACGGGATTCTTAAGGGTCCACGTTTGCAGCAAAAAAGAATAAAACGTGTAAAAAATATAATACATAACATAGTAAAATAATAAAAAAACAGGTAAAAGATAAGATCTTCATTATGCTGCAGGCACATTAAAGTGTGAAAAAAAAAAAAACCACACTTCTCTAACTATTGACTGTTACACACTGCTGGTTTGCTTTCGCTCCATTTATAAGAGGAAGTGAGTGAGTGCAGGACATGAAGTCTTTTCAGCCACAGGAAGTTCCAAGGCAAGGTCTGATTAATTACACTGTTGAGAGAACAAATTGAGTTACAATCTATAAAGCTGAAAAAATGCATTCGCTGCAATCCGACTGTGGGAGCGATTGTGAATACATACACCCTGGGTAGAGGTTTACAATAACACTGTTTTTGTGTCGGCACGCAATTCACAATCTATTTGGTTTTGTTTTGTTACTTTTAATGCAAAGCCAATTGAGATGGTCATAATCAACAAACAACACCATACAACTGTTATCATAGTGAAGTGCCAACAACACATACAATATAAGCTGACCTAGACAGTCTTCCACAGAAACAGTCTTCCACAGAACCAGAAGAAAATGACTCCTGGTTTATGGAAGTGCAGGTTAATTGCTATTTTGACATATAAACACTGATAGGAGCTATCCCGGGCACTGCTGCCATCCTTCCCCTTTCTTTATTGTCAGATGAATCATGTTTGTCCACTGCTTTATGTTCATAACACTGTACTCCATAGAATATGACCACAAGTCCTCTACTGGATGAACACAGAGGCCATTGGCAGTAGTAAAACAAAGACCCATAAAAATCTTTGAGAAAAAGCCACAGATTAACTGCACATTTGACCAAGCCAAAAAAAGTGATCAAGATATAATAGCCTCAGCAACATCAGCAAAAAAAAACTGTCTTCAGCTGTCGGCTAAAATGGAAACTCAGGCTGAACCACAGACAACCGTGTTAAAAAGCTGCCAGTCAAGGAGAAAATCTTGCTGGATGTCAGAAATGTGGAATCCAAAAGCAGAAGTGGTTGGACTGTGGCTGGTTTAAAAATATCCAGCCCAGTGGCCCAGGTTCCTGAGTCATTGTTTCAAAGTGAAAAAAACCATAAAACCAATAGGAATGATAGAAACTGGTAGGAGTTTCTTCAGAGACCTGGATTTGTTTGGAGAGTCTCAGTGGCTGTCACACATTGAAACCTGGTGACATCTCAAAAATAGACTTTGCTTCTAACCAGAAAATGTAAAGGTCAGCTGGTGGGGGTCACAAGGGGAGTTATAACTGAGTAAATTGATTTCTAATATGCATTGTCTTTGTCACACATACATTCTTAAATAATACATCTTTGCTGCCTCAAGGTTTCTTTCCATTAAATAAAAATAACCAGATAACCACAATCACAAGTAGAAAGCCCTATTCCTCTATCCACCTAAACAAAAAGCAAAATTCTATTAT